TTACGCGGTAAGGGCCGCTGAGTTACGTGGCTCCTTTTGTTGAAGTGGCCTGGCTGTCTCAAATGAAAGCTCGAACGAAGTGGCTTATCACGTGGACATTTGTAGCAGCCGCCAAATACTCCAAAAAGCGTGACGTTGATTCTCAGCGCAGGGGGGGGGGGGGAAATCGGAGCAGGCATCAACGTCGGGATCGAAAACAAAACCAGGCGAGGTCGTTAACATCTCCGAGCCACCGTGGTGCCCCAAAACAGCTCCAGGGTACGGCTTGTGTCCGATTCCCGATGTTCGCAAGATGGCAGCATCGAGACCTCCTCCTCCAGTCTCTCTCCCCTGCCTGCCCCTCCCAATCCGACCCCTGCCCCCCGCCGGCCATCGCGAGCGCCCTCTGGGAGCGACGTCGTTACCCTGGCGGACAAAAAAATTTGATCGGGGTTCCTTCCGCTAAGCAAGCCGCGTTGGGCCTCTCCGCCCTCGTGCCCCCCCCCCCCAACTTGCCCCCCAGGCCCCCCAGGCCCCCCAGGTAGCGAGGGGCTTGCTGGGCTCGTGCTAATGGAGTCGTTCCCAGCTTCCCAGGTCGTCCGTGCCACGGTGGCTAGGAGATGTCAACGACCTCGCCTGGTGTGCAGGAGCTTGTGGATTCGATCCCGGCCCTGATGCCTGGATCACAGTGGCGAGATGTTAACTACCTCACCTGGTACACGGGAGGTCGTGGTTTCGATCCCAACCTTGACGCCTGCTGCTGTATATTTGGAGTGCGTGCGTCTCTCTCCTTGCGGTCGCGTGGATTTTTCTCCGGGTCCTCTGGTTTTTCCCTCCACATTTTTCCATCAACGTCACGCGTTTAGAGTATTTGTCCGTGATCACATCCCGGCCACTTCGTTGGGCTATCATTTGTGAAAAATAACTGCATCGCTCAGTGGGTCTTACCTGGTAAAATGAATATAGATACATAATCGTTGTTGTCCTCTCTCCACTCTGCACAAGTCTGAATATTTACTCCGCAAATCACTCGCCTGGAATACGCGGAGCGATCATCGGCACCGACCCCCACTGTGACAACTTGGCAGGCCCCTTCTGGGGCTTGAGCACTTTGAGATTGGTCCTTGTTGTTGTTGTTGTTTTGTGTCCTGTAACTTCCCACTGCCATTTCATTTCATCCATCCTTTCCTTTGACTCGCACAGATACCCGCAGACTTGCACAGAGACCCGTAGACTCGCACAGAGATCCATAGACTCGCACAGAGACCCACAGACTCGCACAGAGACCCGCAGACTCGCACAGAGATCCATAGACTCGCACGGAGACCCGCAGACTCGCTCAGAGACCCGCAGACTCGCACAGAGACCCGTAGACTCGCTCAGTGTGTACGTGTGTATGCGCGTGTGTGAGTGTCTACGTGTGTGAGTGTGTACGTGTGTGAGTGTGTACATGAGTGTGTACGTGTGTGTGAGTGTGTGAGTGTGTGAGTGTGTACGTGTGTGTGTGCGTGTGTATGCGTGTGTGTGTGTACTTGTGTGAGAGTGTATACGCGTGTGTGTACGTTTGTATGCGCGTGTGTGTGTGTACGTGTGTGTGTACGTGTATGCGCGTGTGTGAGTGTGTATGTGTGTATGTACGTGTGTGTGTACGTGTGTATGCGCGTGTGTGAGTGTGTACGTGTGTGTGAGTGTGTACGTGTGTGTGTGTACGTGTGTATGCGCGTGTGTGAGTGTGTACGTGTGTACGCGCGTGTGTGAGTGTGTACGTGCGTGTGAGTGTGTACTTGTGTATGCGCGTGTGTGAGTGTGTACGTGTGTATGCGCGTGTGTGAGTGTGTACGTGTGTGTGTGTACGTGTGTATGCGCGTGTGTGAGTGTGTACGTGCGTGTGAGTGTGTACGTGTGAGTGTGTACGTGTGCGTGCTCGCGGGGCCAAGCATGTGACCGGGGCGATGTTTATTACGACACTTAGCGCTGGCGAAGGTTCCAGATAATCCCCACGGAATTCCACACGTGCCCTTGTCAGGATATCTGCTGAGTCCGTCGCGTTATTTATACTCGCCAACCGTGCCCCCCCCTACCACCACGCCCCCCCACCACACACTCCGCCCCCCCGTCAACCACCACCACCACCACTTGTTTTCCTGAGCTGATCTCACATTAACCCAGGCCACCCCGCTAGCGCCCGGCCGACTCGCGGTCACGGCGGCAGTGTTTGGTTGTCCTAGTCCTCGAGCGAGCGCAGAAAATCCACGCGGCGTTCACCCGAACGAGGCAACGGAGTCGGCGGGCTGCCGGGGAGAGTGCCGTTAGCGAGCGCCTGTTAAGGCCGGCGTTGCCGCAGTCACGCCGCCCGGCCGCCCCCGGCACCTGCTGCACCGGGTGCTCATTTCGGGCTAAGTCTACCTAGGAGAGGAGGGGTACGGATATTCGTCACCGGCGTTGGGTCGAACCGGGGCCGCCGCCTGTTGCTCGCCGAGCCTCCCAGACGATAAAACACGGTGCCGTCGCGGCCGATATCACGACTCCGCAATCGATCATCGGTTCGGATCGCGCGAGTCGTATCGTGCGGCGTGCATCCTCCTCCACCCCACACGGCCAACTGATGAAGTTGTGGCGGTGAACGGACGTGTGCCGATTTATCACCGCTCCAGCAGCATCGTCACCGGTGGTGTTGCTGGAGAGAGGCCCACACACACGCGCCAACGCACGCACACGCGCCAACGCACGCACACGCGCCAACGCACGCACACGCGCCAACGCACACGCGCATACATGCGCGTACGCTCAGTGTAGGTTTATAGCTCCCTGTGTGAGTCTGTGGGTCTCTGTGTGAGTCTGCGGGTATCTGTGTGAGTCTGTGGGTCTCTGTGTGAGTCTGTGAGTCTCTGCGTGAGTCTGTGGGTCTCTGTGTGAGTCTGTGGGTGGTCTGTGTGAGTCTGTGGGTCTCTGTGTGAGTCTGTGGGTCACTGTGTGAGTCTGTGGGTCTCTGTGTGAGTCTGTGGGTCTCTGTGTGAGTCTGTGGGTCACTGTGTGAGTCTGTGGGTCTCTGTGTGAGTCTGTGGGTCTCTGTGTGAGTCTGTGGGTCTCTGTGTGATTCTGTGGGTCTCTGTGTGAGTCTGTGGGTCTCTGTGTGAGTTTATGAGTCTCTGTGTGAGTCTGTGGGTCTCTGTGTGAGTCTGCGGGTCTCTGTGTGAGTCTGTGGGTCTCTGTGTGGGTCTCTGTGTGAGTATATGGGTCTCTGTGTGAGTCTGTGGGTCTCTGTGTGAGTCTGTGGGTCTCTGTGTGATTCTGTGGGTCTCTGTGTGAGTCTGTGGGTCTCTGTGTGAGTTTATGAGTCTCTGTGTGAGTCTGTGGGTCTCTGTGTGAGTCTGTGGGTCTCTGTGTGAGTATGTGGGTCTCTGTGTGGGTCTCTGTGTGAGTCTATGGGTCTCTGTGTGAGTCTGTGGGTCTCTGTGTGAGTCTGTGGGTCTCTGTGTGAGTCTATGGGTCTCTGTGTGAGTCTGTGGGTCTCTGTGTGAGTCTGTGGGTCTCTGCGTGAGTCTGTGGGTCTGTGTGAGTCTGTGGGTCCCTGTGTGAGTCTGTAGGTCTCTGTGTGTGTCTGTGGCTCCCTGTGTGAGTCTGTGGGTCTCTGTGTGTGTCTGTGGCTCCCTGTGTGAGTCTGTGGGTCTCTGTGTGACTCTGTGGGTCTCTGTGTGAGTCTGTGGGTCCCCGTGTAAGTCTATGGGTCACTGTGTGAGTCTGTGGGTGGTCTGTGTGAGTCTGTGGGTCTCTGTGTGAGTCTGGGTCACTGTGTGAGTCTGTGGGTATCTGTGTGAGTCTGTGGGTCTCTGTGTGAGTCTGGGTCACTGTGTGACTCTGTGGGTCTCTGTGAGTCTGTGGGTCTCTGTGTGAGTCTGTGGGTCTCTGTGTGAGTCTGGGTCTCTGTGTGAGTCTGTGGGTCTCTGTGTGTAGTCTGTGGCTCTCTGTGTGAGTCTGTGGGTTTCTGTGTGAGTCTGTGGGTCTCTGTGTGAGTCTGGGTCTCTGTGTGAGTCTGTGGGTCTCTGTGTGTAGTCTGTGGCTCTCTGTGTGAGTCTGTGGGTTTCTGTGTGAGTCTGTGGGTCTCTGTGTGAGTCTGGGTCTCTGTGTGTAGTCTGTGGCTCTCTGTGTGAGTCTGTGGGTTTCTGTGTGAGTCTGTGGGTCTCTCTGTGTGAGTCTGTGGCTCCCCCTGTGAGTCATTGGGTCCCTGTGTGAGTGAGCAGCCGCTGTGGCGATGGTAACGGTGAGGGGAGCCCCGGTATACCGGGGCCGGCGTCACGTGACGGCCGACGTGCCTCTCCTTAGTTTGGTTGTGCCTCTGTTCAGCCGTGATCCATCCACTGCTGGATGAAGGCCTCCCCCCCCCCCACCCCAACTAAGCTGTCATCACCTCCCAGGGTCACGATTCGATGGCTTGCTGTCCGCGGTGGACATGCTCTCGGGCATTCCACATTCCTTTGCCAGGTGCACGTCGGTCCACCAGACAACCAACGTCGAGCGACTCGCCGCTCATTTTATCGACCCCGGAGGGGAGGGGTGATGACGATGGGCTGAGTCACCCCCCCCTCCACCACCACCCAGCCCCACCCCAGACCCCCAACTAGGATTTGACCTCGCGACCTTTCGATTGCGAACCGCTCGCTCCACCGCTGAGCCACCAACATCCCGGCCCCCCCAGGTCGAATAATTATTCATCTGAATCGACGGCGCCCCCTTCGACGTCCGGCGCGGTGTGGCGCCGGACGTCGAAGGGGTCCGGCGGCGACGCTCGCAGGAGGTGACCATCGTCCGCTCGCTCGCCCGCCAGCGTCACGGAAAGAGATTTGAAAAATCGCTCCGGGAACGCGCGCAGCAAATCATCGCCCCTACCCCCCCCCCCCGACCGACCTCTACCACCTCCCGCGAATACTTGGCAGGACGCTGCTGGAAAAGCGAAGCGCGTTGTTTTAATATAACTTTGTCAATCCTCGCCGCCCCGCCCCGCTCTGCCCCCCCGTACGCAGCTGATGAATGGTTCGGCCCGGCAGCAGGACGCGTACCCGGGTCTCCCCCTGTCGGCGCTCACCAAGTGGGACGCTCTGCTCAAGATGAAGGAGACGCTCCTGCAGGAGAAGGACCTGGCCATCGAGAAGTGAGCGCCCCGCCACCCGTCCGTGCAGCCTCGCGCCCGCGTGCGTGCGTGCGTTCGCCCCGGCAGAGGTCGCAAACGGGTTTTGATTCCTTACCCGTACCCGTACCTGGCCGGGTACGGGTACCCGTTCCCTACCCGTACCCGTACCCTACCCGAAATGAGTGACAAATGGTTACTCACCAGTGACTCACGGCTTACCCGTACCCGGCCGCACCAGGGTCGCAAACGGCTACCCGTACCCTACCCGATACCCGGCTACCCGATACCCGGCCGGTACGGGTACCCGGCCGGGTATCGGGTAGGGTACGGGTATCGGGTACCCGGTTGCGACCTCTGCGCCCCGGGCGTCTGTGAGCACATGCACATACACACGCGTGCACATGCATAGACACGCACACACATACGTACACGCGCATATGCGTACGTACATACGTTGTGCTTGTACATGAAGACAAAAAGACAGGTCCCCCGTATAGCCTTAGCACACTGTTGGGGCAAGGGTCTGTTAGTGAGCACCTGTGAAGGCCGGAACAGCCACACGGAGGGGGTGGGTGGCCAGAACCACACCTCACCGCCTTTGTCTCCCCAGTGGCGATGTTTACGCACCGCAGCAGGTACTCATTTGAGGCCGAGTCGACCTAGGGGAGGCCCAGCACCGGTGAGCGGGAATCGAACCCGGGTGGCTGGGTGCGTGGCGCAGCTACACACACAAGCACACACTCGTACGTACACTCGTACACTCAAACATACAATAACAGCAGCGGCCGTTGTATGCCACTAAGCGGCGGTGAAGTCACCGCGGCGCCAGGCCAGGTGCACTTGTGGAAGGCTCTCCGCTGGCAGGATGAGGTCACGGGACAGACTCAGGTGCCGTGGGCCGCGTCGTTTTACCCACACTCCGTGCCTGCGTTTGATGCCCACTCCAAAGCCCCGTGGCCTTGCGGGAATTGCTCGCGTCGGGGTTAACAGAAGGTGCCAAGCTACGACCACTTCTTGTCCGTCTGCCTGCGTTTCCATGTGTCTGTGTAGGCCTCAGCAAGGTAAGGTAATTTACCCTTTTTACCGGTAAAATGGTAAAGGTGTCGACATGCCAAGGGGTAAGGTAAAGGGTAGGGTAAAGGTAGCGCAGAAGAATTACCCTGTTTGCCGCTCGCTGAAAGCTCCGTGGCGCAGTCCGTGGCCTCCATTTAAAATTGGAATCATCGAGAGTATTCTATATGAATGGAGCACTCTACCTAGCATTTACCTGTTACAAACCTTTTTCATGTGTAGTAGTACCCCAGTAATTACCCTGTAATCGGGTTATTTGTATGGGGTAAGGGTAAAAGGTAGGGTAAAGGTAGGCTCGTTGCTTTTGACCTTTAACCTTACCTTGCCAAGGCCCTCTGTCTGTGTGTCCGTGCGTCCGCGCGTTTGCGTGCCCGTGTGCGTCTTGTTCCTTCACGTATATCCCGCTCCGCGCGTCCAGGCAGAAGCAGCAGCTGCTGCTGCTGCAGCGGCGAGTGCAGGAGACGGAGGCGCGACTCCAGGCGCTGGTGCTGCCCCCGCCGTCGGCACGCCCCGGCTGGCTGGACCAAGCTGCCCTCTCGTTGCACCTTCAGGTGAGGTGGTGGGGGCCCAGGAACCCGGCGCCACGCTCCTGTCGTGTTGTTGTAACGTTCAGACTCGCCCCGACTGGAAAAAGAGCTTCGCGGCTCATCGGATTGACCCCCGTGACCCTGTGACCTCGCCGCCCCAGCAGGAGTCCCAGCTCGAGAGCGCTTCCCTGCGGGCGCAGCTGTCGGAGCGAGCCGGGGCGCTGGCGGCGGAGCGCGGGGAGCTGGAGCGCCGGCTCGCCGACGCCGAGCTGCGGGCGCGAGCGGCGGGCGAGGCGGCGAGCCAGGGGGCGCGCCAGCACGCCGAGAGCCTCGCCAGGGTGGAGGAGAAGGTGGGGGCCCGCGAGGGGGATGGGGGGGAGGGGGGGGAGGGGTAGAGGCTCTCGCTCACCCTGCGACGCCGGCGCCCTGCGAGGAGCACGGCGCTACGCGGCGCCCTCTTGCTCTCGTCGCGTGCGCCCGCATGCACCGCGTGCAACGGACACACACCGCACATGCCGCGCTAACAGAGCACACCGCACAACTGCGCACCTCGCGTGGCAACGGCGTCTCTCTCTCTGTGTCTCTCTCTCTGTCTGTGTCTCTCTCTCTCTGTCTGTGTCTCTCTCTCTCTCTGTCTGTGTCTCTCTCTGTCTGTGTGTGTCGCTCCGTCTCTCTGTCTGCGTCTCTTCCGGAGTGGCTGAGACACAGGGACAAGCGTGTGAGCACTTGTGACGCTGTGTGTTTCTCTCTCTCTCTGTCTGTGTCTCTCTATGTGTTTTTCTCTCTCTCTCTGTCTGTGTGTCTCTCCGTCTCTCTGTCTGTGTGTGTCTCTCTCTCTGTGTCTGTGTCTCTTCCGGGGTAGCTGAGACACAGGGACAAGCAGCTGAGCTCCATGCGCAAGCGCGTGGAGCGCGAGGCGGAGGCGAGGGCGGAGCGCGCACGGCGCGTCGAGAGCCTGGAGACCTACCTGGCCGACCTGCCCACGCTGGAGCACCACCAGGCCCTCCGCCTCAAGGTCAGTGGGGGGCGGGGGGGCAGTGGGGGGCGGGGGGGATATTCGGGGGGCGTACGGGGCACCCGGGTTCTGTCGTCACGACCACCACTGCAGCCGGCACCGCTGTCAACGTAACGAGGCGGCACTGGTTTAAACAGCTGTGCTGCGTATAAACCGTAAAAAAATATAAAAACTACAAATGCTACTACACGCTCACCCACCTGCTGCGCTTGCAGCGGAAAGTTAAAGACCCCGCAACACACTCTGACTCCGCCGCTCCGTGTACTTCCCGCCCGCCTCCAGCTGGAGCAAGCGGAGGCGCGAGCTGCCCAGCTGGAGGGCTCCATGGCGGAGCTCCAGGCCCAGCTCCGCGAGAGAGACAGCCGCCTCCGCGAGAGGGACTCCCTGCTGGACAGGTAGGGCCCTGGTGGCCGTGGTGTCGCCCGATGACGTCATCGTCAATGACGCGCGACGTGTCGCCCGATGACGTCATCGTCAATGACGCGCAACGTGCCGCCTGATGACGTCATCGTCAATGACGCGCGACGTGTCGCCCGATGACGTCATCGTCAATGACGCGCAACGTGTCGCCCGATGACGTCATCGTCAATGACGCGCGACGTGTCGCCCGATGACGTCATCGCCCGATGACGTCATCGTCAATGACGCGCGACGTGTCGCCCGATGACGTCATCGTCACTGACGCGCGCCGTGTCGCCCCACGACGTCATCGTCTTGGCCACCGAGGATTTGCACTTTGGCTGCTGGTTTCTTTTGTCGCCGAGTAAACTTGTTAGCCGAGTGTGGATTAGTTTCCTCTGGGGTGAGCCCTCTTTGTCCACCTGTCTGTCCGACCCTCTCTCCATTTCTCCAGCTGTCGCCCATCCGACCCTCGGTCGATCAATGTATCCGTCGGCCCGTCCGTCTGTTGGTCCGATCCTCCGTCTGTCCATCGTTCCGTCTGTCCGACCCCCTTGCCCGTCCGTCTGTCCCCTCCGTCCACCTCTGCCGGACAGGGAGGCGCAGGCGGCGTTAGCGCAGAGGCAGGCGGAGCTGGAGGGACGCGCCGCGGAGATGGAGCGCGCGCTGCGGGAGCGGGAGGCGGAGGGCGAGCGGCGCTTGGCGGAGAGCGACGGGGAGCTGCGCTCGCTCCGACACCGGGAGCAGGAGCTCGTGGCCACCGTGCAGACGTAAGCGACGAGCGGACCGATGCACGGAGGGACGGACGGGCGGGCGATTGTATGGAACGAACAGAGAGACAAAGAGAGGGGCGGACAGGCGAATGGACATGCGCACGCACGACACGTGCACCACTCCCCTACCCTGTGTACCCCTCGCCTGCTCCGTGTACCCCCCCCTTCCCCCCCACGTACCGCTCACCTCGTCACTTATCACCCCGCGTGCCCCTCACCCCACCCTCCCCCTCCCCCGCCTACCCCCCCCCCGCGGCGCCAGGCTGCAGCAGAAGGTGGAGCGCTGCCTGTCGGACGGCGCCCGGCTGCCCGTGCTGGGCCTCGAGTCCCTGCAGCGCGACAACCAGCGACTGCGCGACGACTGTGATCGCGCACGCAAGGTGAACCCCCCCCCCCCACCGCCCCTCCCTCCCCCCGCCTCTTCACGCACAGTGGCGTGACCCGCACTGCAGCGGACGACGTGGGGTGGACCGTACCAAAGCTTTAAGTTCAAGTTCATGTATTAGGTGTAGCCCTGTGAGCCATTCGGCTCTTGAATCGGGTGCAACCGCAACAAACAAAAACATGAACAAGAAAACATCTTAAAGTGAATATGTCACTGAGTGCAAACAGAAAATCCAAAAAAAGACAGCAAAATATTGCAGAAAAAATCACCGTACACCAACGCTGTGTGCAAAAATCCCAGTGGGATGCAAGTCAAACAACAACAACAATAACCACAAGACAACTTAGATTTAGGCCATCAGTCTTACTCCGTACTACAACAAACAAACATGGCCAAACCAGTAAACTTTTCGAAATCACCAAAATAAAGCCATGAAACAGTGATCATAGGAACTGTGACGGAATTTTCACAATAAACGACAAACAACATGTACCACCAAAACACGAGGGCTTTGGGGGGGGGGGGGTATTCGCTCCCGTTGTAACACGCGAGATGAACCCATTAAACCTTCCCTCCCCACCGTGTGGCCCGACTTGGATGCAGGCAACAGTCTGGTGTGGACTGCACCCAAGCACATTGTAGAGGGGCGTCTCGTTCCCCTCGTGTGTTACATCCCCATTGTGGCAATCCTCTAGTCTCCTTGTGTGTCTCCATACCCCCCGTGTCTCCGTGTCCCCCGTGTCCCCCGTGTCCCCCGTGTCCCCCGTGTCCCCCGTGTCTCCATGTTCCCCGTGTCTCCATGCCCCCTGTGTCCCTTGTGTCTCCCGTGTCCCCATGTCTCTGTGTCTCCCGTGTCCCCATGTCTCCATGCCCCCCTTGTCTCCATGTCCCCCGTGTCTCTCGTGTCTCCATGCCCCCCGTGTCACCATGCCCCCCGTGTCTCCATGTCCCCTTGTCTCCATGTCACCCGTGTCCCCGTGTCTCCATGCCCCCCCTGTCCCCCGTGTCTCCATGTCACCCGTGTCTCCATGCCCCCCCTGTCCCCCGTGTCTCCATGCCCCTCCTGACCTCCCTCCGGTGCCTGCGCCACTGCGCAGTGGCGCAGGGCAGCCGTAGCCGAGGTGGCGATGCCCCCCCCCCCCACGTCTCAATGCCTCCCCCCGTGCCCCCCACCGCTCCCCAGATAATGGAGAACCAGCAGCGGCGCCTGGACGCGCTGGCGCAGCAGCGTGCCGAGCAGGAGGCGGTGGAGCGGGAGCGGGCGGGCGGCGCGGCGCGCGAGCACCAGGCCCTGCGGCTGCGGGCCGAGGAGCGCGACGCCAGAGTCCACGAGCTGCTCGTCGCCGTCAAGGGGGTGAGTGGGAAGTGGGCTCGGGGGTCATCATTAATGATGGGTTTTTGGGGTGAGTTGTCGGGGGGCGGAGGAGGATGGAGGGGGGGCAGGCTGATTTGTGTGGGGGGCTAAGGCCAAGTTGAATAGGGCAACCAAGCAGCGCTGTGTCCCCATGTCACCCCCGTGTTGTCCCCGTGACCCCCTCGTGTTGTCCCCGTGACCCCCCCGTGCTGTCCCCGTGACCCCCTCGTGTTGTCCCCGTGACCCCCCCGTGTTGTCCCCGTGACCCCCCCGTGTTGTCCCCGTGACCCCCCCGTGTTGTCTCCGTGACCCCCTCGTGTTGTCCCCGTGACCCCCCCGTGCTGTCCCCGTGACCCCCTCGTGTTGTCCCCGTGACCCCCCCGTGTTGTCCCCGTGACCCCCCCGTGTTGTCCCCGTGACCCCCCCGTGTTGTCGCCGTGACCCCCTCGTGTTGTCCCCGTGACCCCCCCGTGTTGTCACCGTGACCCCCTCGTGTTGTCCCCGTGACCCCCCCGTGTTGTCCCCGTGGCCCCCCCCGTGTTGTCCCCGTGACCCCCCCCGTGTTGTCCCCGTGACCCCCCCGTGTTGTCACCGTGACCCCCCCCCCCGTGTTGTCCCCGTGACCCCCCCGTGCGTGTCTCCGTGGCGTGCCCCGCCCCCCCCCGCCGAGTCTACGTATCTCCGTAACCTCGTGCCCTCACCTCCCCGTGTACCGCCCCCCCTCCCCTCCCCTCCCCGCCACCCCACGTGACCTCGACTCCACAGCTGACGGCTGAGAAGGAGGGGCTGTTCTCCCGCTGCCTGGAGCTGCAGGAGCGCCTCGAGGGGGCCGCGTGCCCTGGGGACGAGGGCCCTGGTGACGAGGGCCCTGCGGCGGTCGTGGCGGAGGTCGTGACGGAGCTGTGCGCGGCGCAGCGGGAGATGCGCGTGCTGTGCGACGTGATGGCCGCCCACGCGCAGGGGCGCCAGCCCGACCTGTCCCAGCTGCTGGGCCTGCACCGTGAGTGCGTGTGAGGGCGCGCGGGGAGAGGTGCGGAGCGTGGGGAGTAGGGGGGGACGGGTTGCTGGTACGGCTGAGAGCATGGGGGGGTCTTTGTCTTCGTGGTGGCGGCCGCGGCGCCATGAGTGGCTGTGGAGGTGGCGTCGTGGGCGACCGGCGCCGAGGACGGTCACGACCAGAGGTCGCAATCGGGTACCCGATACCCGTACCCTACCCGATACCCGGCTACCCGTACCCGGCTGCAACCCTGGTGCGGCCGGGTACGGGTACGGGTAGGGCGTGAGTCACTGGTGAGTCATCGTTTGTCACTCATTTCCCAACGTCTTGTCTATTCTCACAATTCAAGTTCCTAGAATCAACCCACCCGCGCCTGCAACATGGCTTCATCCCAGAGGTCGCAATCGGGTACCCGTACCCTACCCGATACCCGGCCGGGTACGGGTAGCCGGGTATCGGGTAGGGTAGGGTACCCGTTTGCGACCCTAAGGAATCAAAACCCGTTTGCGACCTCTGGTCCAGGCCAGCAGCGGATTGACCATGGCTGACGACGATGGCGGTGTGTGTGCGGTGGTACAGCGGTTAGCGGCGCGCTGCGGTATGGTCCCGGGGTCCCGGGTTCGATTCCCGCTCACGGTCAACGCCGGTGACGATTATCTGAACCGGTCCTGGGCCTCCGCTAGGTCGACTCGGCCTCAGACGAGTACCCGGTGACGGTGTCTAAAGCATCGCCACCAGGGAGACAAAGGCGGCCGGGCGCGGTGCTGGCCACCCACTCCTCGTGTGCCGTGCCGGCCTTCATAGTTGCTACTCGCTAACAGCGCTTGCTCCTACAGTCTGTTAAGGTTACACGGGGGATCTTTGTCTTTTGTTTCTGTGTGTCTGTCTGTGTGTGTGCGTCTGTCTGTGTGTGTCTGTGCGTGTATGTAGTGGGGAGCGGTGGTGTCGCGGTTAGCACTCTGCACTATGAACCTGGTGACCCGGGTTCGAATCCCGCTCACGGCCAACACCAGTGGCGATTATCTGAACCGGTCCTGGGCCTACCCTAGGTCGACTCAGCCTTAAATGAGTACCTGGTGCGATGTGTAGACATCGCCACTGGGGAGACAAAGGCGGCCGGGCGCGGTGCTGGCCACCCACCCCCTCGTGTGCCGTGCCAGCCTTTATAGGTGCTCGCTAACAGCACTTGCCCCTACGGTCTGTTAAGGCTACACGGGGGATCTTTGTCTCTTTTGTCTTCGTGTGTCGCGTGCGGGGGCGGCAGCGGGGTCGGCGGTGACGGCCGCGGAGGAGGCGTCGTCGCGGGCGACCGGTGCGGGCGCGTGGGCCGCAACGAGGAGCCGGGCGTGCCGGCTGCGTGCCGACGTGGAGGCGCTGAGGGCGGTGGTCGCCGACCGCTGCGCACAGGACGTGGGGGACAGCTGCATCACCCAGTAGCGCCGCCGGCACCACCGCCGTCACCACCGTCGTCACCGCGTCCCTGCCGCCGGTGCCGACGACGACGACGACGCTGGCGCTCGGCGTCCGTTCGAAGAGGCCGCAGCGTCGCGGAGGGGCGGGGGCAGCAGCAGCGAAACTCTGGGCAGGGGGCGTGTCGAGAAGAAAGTGTGTGCGTGTGTGTGTGCGTGTGCGTGCGTTCGAAAACCAATATGTGCCATCCTCTGGCACAGTGGGTGTGCGTGTGCCGGTGGTGTGGTCACCGCAGCCGAGTCAACCCACACACACGTGGCGTTCAAAAGTGCACCTAGCCTGGCACAAGCGCTGCTGCTGCTGCGGTGGTGACCGTCTCCGTCACTTGGAGGGGAACGGTTTGAAAAGCTGCGATCGACTCATGCGGTTGGTAGCACCGCAGCTGCTGCTGGAGAGACAGCCCCCCCCCCACTCCCCCCCACTCTCCCCCCCCCCCCCACTCTCCCCCCCCACTCTCCCTCCTCCACTACCCCCCCTCCCACCACACCACCCAAAATGCCTGTGGCCTCGATGAATGTTGATAGAGGATTCGGAGCCAAATGTGCGGTCTTCCTAGAGCCACGCTCGCTTACACTCAAGGATGTATTCTGTTTATATTTGTCTATTTTAATACTGCGCTGCGAACGGCGGGGGGGGGGGGGGGGCGTGGTGCCTAGGAACGAGCGACGCCAAATAAATAGTAAAACAATTAATTTAAATAAAAATAACGAGCCAAGCAGAGGAAGAGCCGTGGCGTATAAATAAAGCCGTGGCCACGAGCTGCTGAACTTTTACAAGTTCAGGTTGTTTATTTTTTATTTTTGTTGTTGCTGCGTAGAGATTCGTCGCGCGAAAGTTCCGTCTTGCTGGCGCGTGGACTGACGTATGAGGCAGCAATTCTGGGCTCGTTCCCGCGTGTGCGTGCGTGTGAGCAGCGGCTCGTGCGCTGCGCCACGCCACGAACCCGGCCACCCGAGTTCAATTCCCGCTCACGGCCACAAACGCCAGTGACCGAGTATCTGAAACAGGTTCTGGACCTGACCCTAGGTCGACTGGGCCTCAGATCAGTACCTGGCGCGGTGTGTAAACATCGCCACTGGGGAGACAAAGGCGGCCGGGCGTGGTGCTGGCCACCCACCCAACCTCTCGTGTGCCGTGCCGGCCTTCATAGGTGCTCGCTAACAGCACTTGCCCCAGCAGTGTTTTTTTTGGTTTTGCGCGTGTCAAAAATCGAAACGGCCTTTTCCCCGTCGCGATGGTGGCAGCCGGGGGCCAAAGCGTCGGAAAGGTCGCGGCGAGGCATGCGGCCTCGCAGCCACCGCCACCGCCACCGCTGCCCCCTCTCTCCGCACTCCGCGCGCCGTCGTCCGTGATGGATGGGGGCGGTTCGTGTTTAGAGGGTTTCGGGGTCGAGTTCAGTTCAGGGCGAGGGTTAAGAGCGGGGTCGTGCGCGAAGACGAGTCGGTGTGTGAACAGCTGGGCGAGGTTGTCTGCTGATGGAGGTGGTTGTGTGATGGGTTACGTGCCCGCTCCCCTCCATACTCAAACACCCTCCCCCCCTCACCACTGGTCTCGTAGCAAAAGTCACAGCGGTCGTGAGAGGCGAACTGGATGCGGCGAGCCATTGATGACCGAGTTCAAGTGCAGTCGGTTCTACGAGGACCGGCTGTGGTGTGGTGCGTCCGGTATCCATATCAAAGTATTGTACGTAAAGTGTTTTGTACATACGTGTGTGTGTGTGTGGGGGGAGCGGTGGTGTAGCGGTTAGCGCGCTGCGCTACGAACCTGGCGACCCAAGTTCGATTCCCGTTCACGGCCAACACCGGTGACGATTATTTGAGCCGGTCCTGGGCCTCGACTAGGTCGACTCAGCCTCTAATGAGTACCTGGTGCGGTGTGTAAAACATCGCCACTGGGGAGACAAAGGCGGTCGGGCGTGGTGCTGGCCACCCACCTCCCTCGTGTGCCGTGCTGGCCTTCATAGGTGCTCGCTAACAGCACTTGCCCCAACAGTCTGTTAAGCCTATACGGGGGATCTTTGTTTTGTGTGTACACGTTTGTGATGGGGAATGCTAGTGTCGTGGTTAGCGCGCTGCGCTACGAACCGGCGATCCGAGTTCGATTCCTGCTCACGGCCAACATCGGTGACGAATATCCGAACCAGTCGTGGGCCTCCACCAGGTCGACTCAGCAACAACAATAATAAATTACATTTGTAATGTGCGCGTTTCAGCCGTAGATCCCAATGCCAATGTCTGTGGAAGCCACGAAACGAACAGAACCTGCAGGGTAAGGGGCCGTCCATAAATGACGTCACGCACCTGGGGGGGGGGGGGTCAGACATTTGTGACGATGTGTGACGAGGGGGGGGGGTTGAGAAATGTGACGTCACATCAAAATGCGCAACTTTAAATAAATATAGACAACAGGTTCTACTTAATTAAATAGACTTTTTAAGAAATGTTTTCTCCTACAACATCAGAGTGCAGCGCCACATTTAATACGCACTACAATGACAATAGTTTAAAGCGATTTGAAGCATCATCATGAGACCTCCTTTGCCAGTACCAAAATTTAATAATAGGGGTTTTTCCCCTTTTTTCTGTCAACAAAACTGAAACCTTTTTACGAGGATTTATGTCTGCATTAACCACAATACTTGCAGTCAAAATGCAAAAAAAACATACTATGATACTATGATGCATTGTCCTTGAAACTGAGAAGCATGTTTTTTTTTGGGGGGGGGGCAGCTTTGAGACGTCATATTTGAGGGGGGGGTCTGACTTTTTGTGACGCCGTGTGACGAAGGGTTGGGGGGGGGGGCGACCAAAATCGTCCAAAATCGCGTGACGTCATTTATGGACGGCCCCTAAAGGACCAGAACTCATATCACAACCCTCTGAATTCGCTCTGGAGTCACGAGAAATGTCGTGAACAAAACTTACGGAATTGCTGCCAATGCCCAGTGTCACGACTCCCTTGGTTCACTCGCAGTCACACGAGGAATGTCGTCGGGAACCCAGCTGACGGCATTGCTACGACGCAGCGCGCCCTGGGGAAACGACCACGTGGCCGAGAGAAGAGACGACGACGAGGAGGAGGGGAATGAGAGAGTCGGAGACTCGGACGAGGCGATGCAATGGAACACAGAGGCACTTTATTTTGACGGAGCATCGTACGGCACGGCGTGTCGTGCCCCACGACTGCGCCCGCCCCGCCTGCAGTGGTGGGAAGGAGAGGGGGAGGGGGGTGTTAATTTCGTGAACGAAAACAGTGGCGAACATTATTCGTGAACGAAGTGAGCTTTTGTTGTTTTAGTCGACGGTGACTGCGAGTGGATTGCAAATGTAACGAGCCCAACACGAAAGGCCACGGCCGACCGCGAGGGCGACTGGGGTTGGAGGAGTCATGGGCCGAGGTCGTCTCGTTCCCTTGCCCAGAGACCAACACGTGGGGATTGGCCATGTGTCCGAATCTCACGGGGCGTAGATGTCAACTGGCCTCGCACCGGTATGCAGAAGGTGGCGTGGGTTCGATCCCGACCCCGGACGATGCCTGCTGCTGCTGCTGCTGCGTATTTGGAGTCTGCGCGTTTCTCTTCCACGTGGTCGCGTTGATTTTCTCCGGGTCCTCAGATCCACCCCCACCTCCCTCCCGTCCTCCTCCACATGCTGAATCAACGTCACGCGTTCACAGTGTTCGGGCTGATGCTACAAATGTCCACGCGTTGAGCCGCCGCCACTTCGTTGAGCTGTCATTTGTGGCCAGGTCGCTGATTGAATAACAGAGAGCTCAGTGGGCCCTACCTGGCAAAATAAATAAAAGTGTTTAGATAGTTTATTAACGAGATTTGAAGTTCACTCAACCGACTGGCTGACCTGTTCGTGCGCGGAGGGGACAATCGTGCGCCCGATGTCGCATTTGAATAACCGAGCGGAGAGTCGCCGTTGGACTTACTGCTCGGAGCAAGGCGAACGTTTTATCCTCCCGCCTGAGCTGTTGAATTGTGATGGGCAGGCTTAATTTTGAATTTTTTTAATTCAGTTTAATTTATTAGGATTTACCATGTCAGCCATTCGGCTCTTGATTTGGGTTCAACCACCGCAGAGAGAGACAGGCAATTCCTCTCTCTCTCTCTCGGGCCCTTCTAGCAAAGCACCAGCAGCGTGTTGAGACACCAATTGCAGGTGCTGGCTTTGTACGCGGCCTGTGTACCGGCACTGCGGAGGCGAGGGTTGATGGCTCACACGTTGTTGTCACACTCCCGTTCCCGAGGGGGGGGTCGAGGAGAGAGCCGTACCCCGCGGCTCACCAGGCGAAGGCGGCACTGCAAGTGTGGAGTAATCGCCATGCGTGTTCCGTCTGTTGTGTGTGGGGGGAGGGGGATGGGGGTAGAGTTTTCACTCGGCGTGCGGTGGGGAGTTGTCTCCGGTGTCCTCCGACATGCACAGACAACTCGCCCGTAGGAGACTGAGAACGCCAAGCAAATCACAACCCAATGCAGCAGCAGCAGGAGCAGCAGCAGCAAGAGGAACTTCCTGAATTTGGGCGCTACGCGACGAGTACGTGGCGGTGCGGTGAACTTCTTTCGCACCGCACGGAGCCAGCCGTTCTGATGGGAGGTGCGGCGGGGGGGGGGCAATGCCGAGTCTTTAAGTCGAGGATGCCCGGAATGAGATCCACAGCGCGGGTTGTCGTCGACGGGACTTGGACTACGACTGAGACTTTTAAAACAAACTACATCTGCACTCATGGGGTGGTTATGCACGAATACAGTATACATATATACTGTATATGTATGCAGTATGTAGATACTATATATGCATACAGTATATATGCTATATATGAATACGGTATATATATATATTTTTGTCATGCCAAAGACTCGGGTCGCCTTGTTGGCAAACGGCACAATGGAAACGAGAGACACGAACTGCGCGAAATGTATTATTATACTTTTTTTTGCTTCATCCGAACCCAGGGTAAGGGATGGCAAAGAGGGGCCGGATGGAGGCCTTCTCGCTTGCCAAGGGTCACCTGGGTGGGTCTGTGTGCGTGGTGGAGATTCTAGCGTTAAACCCAAAAGGGAAGCGTTGAGCGAGGTGGCATTTTCGGTCTCTGAAAGGCCCCACGCCCATCATGGCTAGGTACACACCTCGGACGTTACCCCGCTGATGATGCTGCTGCTACTGTCGGTGACAGCGAACCAGAGTCGGTTCCCCGTGCAGTGTTAATAGACCCCCGTTCGGCGGCGTTTGGGTTGCTTTGTCTGCGAAGGAGTTGGGTTGTCTGGCGTGAGTGTCTCTCTTGTTGATGTCGTTGTCACGCTTGCCCTTCGCGTGCCTCGGCACGCCTGCAGAGTAGACGACTCTGCCATTTGAGGGCGATGTACCCCGGTACATCCTGTATCTCTCTCGACGTTTCGTTAATAATAGAACCACGTTATTTCGACGAAGGTCAAATTCAACCAAATTCCGGCCGTATAATTGTTAATATCGGTTAGTGAGAATGTTATTGTTTTATATTTTTATTATTTCCCTTCTACGTGACTTTACCGAAAGAACCAAGAGTATGAATCCCTGCAGTCACGAAAGCTTTAAATCAAAAATATATCGGTTACATCATTACAAATAAAAACGTAGTTAATGTGATTAAAGGGTGCTTCAAAAAAATGTGAACACTTCTGAGAAATTGCAACAACCGCACAAGCAATGTGCTGCGTCCGGGCTGTGTAGACCACCTGGAGAAGATGATTCCAGGCACGCGTTGACAACGATGGCGGGACAAGTGGAGACTGATCTTCTTGGTTCTTTCGGTAAAGTCACGTAGAAGGGAAATAATAAAATAATAAAAAATACAAACAAAATAATTCTCACGACGTTTCGGCCACAACGCAAGCAGCCGTCCTCAGGTGAAGAAGTGGAGACTTGACTTTTTAAAGCCATGAACATCCATTTGTTATCATGTTCCAGTGTATTATTACCTTTGATTTTTGTCCAATAACGATAGTCCCATTCAAGTGTTAACATTTTTCTTGAAGCACCCTGTATATACACACACAAGGCGATATAACGAGATCGGGTTAATTATCACGAAACACACGGGGCAATTGTGGGACGCACAAACAGCGGCCAAGCCACGTAGAAGGGAAATAATAAAATAATATTTATTATTTCCCTTCTCCGTGACTTTACCGAAAGAACCAAGAAGATGAATCCCTGCAGTCACGAAAGCTTTAAATCGAAAATTAGCGGCCAAGCGCTGCCAATCTACAGCACCGGGTCTGGCCTCGAGGGTCACGTGGTGTCTCCGTGCAGCAAGCGACAACAGGGCAGCCAGGGCCCAGCGCAAACCTTTTAAAATGTTTGAGCTTCGAGTGAGCGATTTTAAAATGTGTTATTTTTATTATTATTAAGGGTACTCATCAAACACGCTGCGGTAAAAGTACGGAATGTCTGCTAGATGCGATTTTTGAGGACAACCTTGTGTATATGTATTGTTGTTGTTCTTGGTTCTTTCGGTAAAGTCACGTAGAAGGGAAATAATAAAATAATAAAAATAAAACATAATAAAATACAATTCTCACGACGTTTCGGCCACAACGCAAGCAGCCGTCCTCAGGTGTAGAACAGGTCTGTCGGAAAGACGCTGAGAATTGTATTTTATTATGTTTTATTTTTATAATTTTATTATTTCCCTTCTACGTGACTTTACCGAAGGAACCAAGAAGATGAATCCCTGCAGTCACGAAAGCTTTAAATCGAAATGTATTGTTGAACTTCTTTTGCACCGTACGTGGTCAACCGTGCTAATCGTAAGTGCGGGCGGGGGGAGGGGGTCTTGCTTCTGAACCCAGGACGTGGGCTGCGAGCGACCCTATCGAGCCGTGAAGGTCAAAAGGGGCCTTTGACCTCCGTGCAGTCTGCCCGTGGAATTTAAGTTATAGATTTGTGAATTGCCAATATTCACCCGAGTATTATTTTGCCTTCGCGTTAACATTATCATTTGTTGTTCGGCTTTTTGAATGACGCGGCGGTGTGGGGATGTCGTGGATGTGTGTACAGTATTACTTTATTATTTGTTGCTGGGGAGCGGTGGGAGTAGCGCTTTACGCTTCGAGGCCGCTACGAAGCAAGAGTTCGATTCTCGGCCACAGGCCGAATTAGATGTCGGTGGCGAGCAATACCAGCACCGATTCTGAGCCTCCCCTAGGTTGACTCAACCTCAGGAGTATTTGGTGCGGTGTGTGTAAATCATTTAGCACTGGAAATACAAAGGCGGCCCGGGGTGGGGGAGTGTTTTATGCGCACCCAGCCTTCACGTGCGCCGTCCTGGCCTTCATGCAATCGGCGCTCGCTATAACGGCGCTTGCCCCAACGGCCTATCAAAGATTATACGGGTGATATTTGTCTTTGCACATTATAATTACACGTGTGTACATTACATATGGATGTAATATATATAATGTATGCGTTTGCTGCTGGCTGCATGTTTACCGAATGCCGAGTTGCGGTGACGTCACAAAGCACTGGCACGTGCGTGGAGATTGTACCACGGCCACCATCAGCAACGATCCCACCCACCCCTCTACGCCCACGTGACTTGGACTTGCCCACAGAACGGTGGAGGACTCGGTCTGGGCCAGTCCAACAAAATCAAGAGAGTCGGGGGGGGGGGGGGGGGAAGAAACATTGAGGCGCGATGGAATTGGAAAGATCCCTGGAAGCGAAGCAGGTTCGAGCCCTGGGTCGGCTATAGATTCATGCGGTCGTTGTACTGTACTGTGCTTCCAACGTCTAGGGTTGCCCGCCTTCAACCCGCACTGACCCAGCAACGTGGTTCGCGCTGGGTCAGGCTGCACGCGGAGTGGGTGGGGGCTACCAGGGCAGTGGGCATGGCTATGTCAAAGTGGGCGGTGCCGATGAACCGAGGGTGGTGGTGAGGATGGGGTGGAGTGGTGAGGATGGGGTGGGGGGTGAGGATGGGGTGGGGGGGGGTGAGGATGGGGTGGGGGGGTGAGGATGGGGTGGGGGGGGTGAGGATGGGGTGGGGGGGTGAGGATGGGGTGGAGTGGTGATGGGTTGGGAGGTTATGGGAGAGCCCCCAGGGAGGGCCCCCCTTCTCCGGCTGTTGCCGTGTGCTTTTATCCGGTCCGTTTATACAAATACAGCCCGTTTCTTACACAATGTTCAGCACCTTGTCCGGTGTTCATCTTTCTCGGCCTGCGGGGAGTGCATCGGTTGTGTGCGTCTGGGCGTCTCAGGCAGGTGGGGGGGGGGGGGGCAGGGTGGAGTTGCCAAGCGAAGTAACAAGAAGATCCGTTTCGTTGACCTCTCTCCAAATTCGGCAAAAGAAAGCCCCCCGCGATATTTCGAGAGCCGCAATATTCGTGGTGAATACGAGACGTCGGTCCTTGCCCCAACGTCACCAACTCCTTAAGAGAGCCACCGCATGCGGCTCCAGTGCAGAGCAGGTGGGTTAAAGAGTACATCGCAAAGACAAAGATCCCCCGTGTAGCCTTAACAGACTGTTGGGGCAAGTGCCGTTAGCGAGCGCCTACGAAGGCCGGCACGGCACACGAGGGAGGTGGGTGGCCAGCACCACGCCCAGCCGCCTTTGTCTCCCCAGCGACGATGTTTACGCACCGCACCAGGTCCTCATTTGAGGCCGAATCGACCGAGGGGAGGCCCTGGATCGGTTCAGATAATCGTCGTGAGCAGGAAACCAACTCGGGTCGTTGGGTTCGTAGCACAGCGCGCTAACCACTACACCACCACTCCACACAGACACCCATCGACTCAAAGGACTAACAGAGGGACCTATACTCGCATAATAAGACCCATACTTGAACAGAAACCCGTGCATCCGCACAGAACCCAATGACTAACGTAGCCTTTCACAGGGGCTGCAGCATTTGGGGCTTCAATGCAGCCGCTGGACAGCATGGCGATGTTGGGGAACAACCGGTTGACGATTGCGAGGTGCAACAGAACTACAGCACAACGACACCCCCCGCCCCGTAGCATCTCGCCGCACGCACTGCCCCCTGCAACCCGGCACGGTGGAGCCGCGGCCATCAGAAGGACCGCCCCCGTCTCAAATCCAGCTTCGCTTGCGGGGACCGAGCAGGCAGGCGAGGCCACGGGGGGACGGGTGGGGGACGTACTCTGGACACCGCTTCTCGCCAGCCGTGTCCCCGCGTGTCCCCACCGCGGTCTCCCCCACCCCGTGTCCCCCCATGCTGACTCAGACGCTGGCGTGGGGTGTCAAGCTCATTGAGAGATGGGGGTGGGGAAGTCCCCTCGGGGGCTAAAACTGGGTCCCCCCCCACCCCTCTTACCTTCCTCCACCCCCCACCAAGTCTCAACCAAACCCAGTAACGTGGCTGGCGTAGAGGCAATGCAACGACACGGGGGGAGGGGGGGAGATTGAGGGGGGGGGGGTACGAATGGGGACATTGGACAGCCCCCCACCCACCCCCCCACTTCATTCCTTGCACCAGGGCCCATGCCAGCTATGCCAGCTATGCCAGCGAAGACGTTCATAGACCCACGCAGTGACCCATATAACCAGAACTCCCACGGAGCCCACGAGACTTGCACACGACGACGCGTCTCCCTCGCACGCGAGACACCCGTGCGCCGACGTAGGAGCCCATGCACGAACCCAGCGCCGACGGACTAACGTGGAGACCCAGAAGACGAAAACAAAGAAGCTTGTGCAGTACTCTTAGGTTTTTTAGGTAAAGTCACGTAGGTAAAAAATAAAATTAAAAGTTAATGAAATCATGGAAATAAAATAATAAATGACGTTTCGGAGGCAACAAGTCTCCGTCATCAGGTGGGACCGTCACAGCTAAAATTACTGTATCAAGTGAGGAAAATTCCAAAAGACCAGCCCTTAAATACAAGTTAAGGGGGTGGCGGGCTTATCTGAATGTGGTAACCAGGTAATGGTTACCACATTGGTGGGCGGGGCTACAAGAGAAAAACCTAAGAGTACGAATCCTTGCAGTCACGAAAGCTTCAAATCTAGAAGCTTGCGCAGTACCTGGACTGGTACTCGGACCACAGCACAGGGCTCTCGTACGGCAACGTAGGGTCCAGAGACTCGCAAGAAGGAAGACCCAACAGCGTAGCAAATGAAGCGGCCAGTCGGTGGCACAAGAGCCGACCATGTCAACCACGGCGACTCTCAAACCAACCACCGCACCCCTCCCGATCGCCGGGACCAGCCGCTGCGTCCAGCGGTGGAGGGGCAGCGAGAGGCAGCGATGCACTTAAGAGACGCCAGAGATGTCAAGAGCAGGTTTTTATTGCGACAGCAGACGCATCGATTACACCAAGTCCCCCCCTTTTCACGCATTTGGCCCCCCCACCCCCACCCCACCCCCCCACCCCCCCCTCCAAATGCCAATCTGCGTCGTCGCGCGTTAAAAAAACAAACTCCAACGTGTTTGCTGGATTATAAAAGTTAAACATTCGTGCAAACGGCAAGTGTAAAAAAAGCCAAACTCTACAAACCGTAACCCTCCATCGATCATCGCCTCTCCGAAAGTGATTTCCATGTGGACGAGACCCCCCCCCCCAACCTGGCGGATCCTAACACGGCACCGGTTCAGCCACGTGACCCCCCAACACACGAACGCTGCTCTTACCATAGTAAAATACCAACTACCAGAACAATGTTAAAAAGTCAACTTGAAAAGAAACCCCCCCGCCCCCCCCACTAAAAACAAAAAGGTATAAACCGATAAAAACATTTTAAAAGAGAGAACAGGACACGGCTGTCACGTGTCCACAGTCGCACCGTTAAAATGAGAATTTAAAAAGGAATTAAGTTTTCAGATGGAGCTGCCCAGGGCTGAGATTCAGAATATACTCACCCCCCCCGCATCCACTGTCAGGAGTGGGGGGCAGGGTGGAACAGCTTGTGCCCTTCCCCCAGAACAGATATTCTATTTGAAATAACGCCCCGTGTCTGCACCAACACCCCCCTACCGCCACCACACACCATCGCCGCCGCCGCCGCCGCCGCAGTGGCAAACACGTTCAGTTGTGACACTGCCAAGCGTTGCCGAGGCCTGCGAAGCACGAGCAGGAAACCGAGTGGGGCGCAGGCAGCGCCGCGTTGGTCAGGGTGGACACGTGCACCAGCGGGCCCAG